ATAGGGGTTGGGATCCCGGGAGGGTGGTAGTTAGGGGTGGGGGGTCTCTGGAGGGGGCAGTCAGGGGACAGGGAGCAAGGAGGGTCCTGGGGGGGGGTCTCTGGAGGGAGTGGTCAGGGGACAAGGAGCTGGGAGGGTTGAATGAGTCAGGAGTTCTGGGAGGGGCTGTCAGGAGGCAGGAGTGTGGAGAGGCATTGGGGGAGGCAGGGAATGAGGGGTTGTATGGGTTGGGAGTTCTGGGGGTCGTGTCAGGGGGTGGGGAGTAGTTGAATAGGCGTGGGAGTCCCGGGGGTCTGTCTGGGGGTGGGGGTGTGAATAAGGGTCGGAGCAGTCAGGGGAAAGGTAGGGGGTAGGGTCCTAGGGGGGCAGTCAGGGGACAAGGAGCAGGGAGGCTTAGGTAGGGTGACCAGATAGCAAGTGTGAAAAATCAGGACAGAGGGTGGGGAGTAAAAGGAGCCTATATAAGAAAAAGCCCCAAATATCGGGACTGTCCCTATAAAATCGGGACATCTGGTCACCCTAGGCTTAGGTAGGGGGTGGAGTCCTGGGGAGCAGTTAGGGGCAGGGGTCCCAGGAGGGAGTAGTTGGGGAGGATAATGAGCAGGGGGGGTTGGGGGGTTCTGAGGGGGGAAGTCAGGGGGCGGGAAGTAGGAGGGAGTGGATGGGGGTGGGACTAGGGCAGGGGCAGGGCTAGGGCGGGACTCCCTGGGTGCACACTCTAATGAAATGGGCTGTGCACACCTATGTCCTTAACATGTGTCATGAATTATCACAAGCATTCATCTGACCAATTTATAAAAACAAAACAAGAAATAAGAGATTACAATATTGTGGAAGGCAATTTTAATTCACAAATAAATACTGTGCATATGATAATTAATTCACATTAACTAAACCAATTTCTGTTGCTGTTATTATTTGTTAAGGTGATGTGATATATGATTTATTCATATTAACTTCTGAAAGTAATATACTGTTTAAAAACTGCATAGGCTCTTCCTGTTCACTTCTTGTCTCTTTTATACAGTGATTTATGAGGTGTACAAGAAATTATTTATGTGAAAAGAACCACTGATTCTTTTGGGGGAGTGCATCTTACACTTCTAGCTAGAAAAGAAGCCAGCATACAACACTAAATCAAATTTGCTGCAGTTTAAAATATCATTATTAAATGTATAGGTTTATGCAGAACTATAGGTAAAAGGATTTTTCTCACATTAAAGCATCCACAGTAAAAGTGATACCCTGTATAATTATTTAAATACATTTTTGGTGAGGAAGGTAAGACAAAAAATGATGTTTGTATATGACAGCAAAGAAAATTAACTGTAAAATTTACTATCTAAATCTCACATTAAAAATGAAGATTTATACTTTATCTTCCCTAATTTGTATCATGATATTAAGTGTTTTTAAGTCATGATACAATCATGATATAATCAAAACAATTTATTTTTAGTGGCAGAGTAGCAAACTGTTCATGGTTTACTTTGGCATCACATATTTATCTGAATAAATGGCTAGAGACAATCACAATCTTTGAAATGACAAACACATATTAAATTTAACCAAAATAAGGTTTACAACAGGAGGATTAAATTGAGTTCTACTGTATTTGAGTAACATCTTTTCCAATTAGCAAGTCTCCTTCTATTACATTGTCATTTATTCACAAAGCCTTAAAGCAGTGCTTCCCAAACTTGGGACGCCGCTTATTCGGGGAAAGCCCCTGGTGGGCCGGGCCGGGCCGTTTTATCTGCCGCATCCGCAGGTCTGGCCCATCGCGGCTCCCACTGGCCACAGTTCACTGCTCCAGGCCAATGGGAGCTGCTGGAAGCAGCGGCCAGTACATCCCTTGGCCCGTGCCACTTCCAGAAGCTCCCATTGTCCTGGAGTGGCGAACCGCGGCTAGTGCGAACCGCGGCTAGTGTGAGCCGCGATCGGCCGGACCTGTGGACGCGGCAGGTAAACAAACCGGCCTGGCCCGCCGGGGGCTTTCCCTACATAAGCAGCATCCCAAGTTTGGGAAACATGACCTGAAAGGGTTATAACACTAGATTACAGTAAAAAGTTACGCTCTCTGTACTCTCCCCACCATCCGTGCTCTCTTCTCCATATACTCAGTTGTCATTTCATTACACCACAATATCTCCATCACCCTGGTTTCCTTTATTTCCCCAAACTCTCTCACCACAAAGTCCATTCCATCAACCTCCAATTCTTGCTCAGCTCCTTTTTACTCCTGTACTGCTGAGTACATTTGGAGAAAATGCCTTGACCGCACAGACACTCATCCTTCAATACTACCATCTTCCAGCTCAAACAACACTTCTCCACCATCATTGAATCCCATATTGCAATTCCAGCCACCTAAAAGCATTTCCCTGTTCCATGTTCTCTCACCAACTTTTTCAAAGAGAAGATTCAGCATGACATCCTTTCTGCCTTCCTTTCACAATTTTCTCTCACCTCATTCTTACCTCCTTCTGCACTTTCAACAACAATGAGGTTCCTCACCTGTTTTCCTCTTAACTCTTCCACCTGGCCAAGCGATGCCATCTCCTTCTTCCTCATGACCTACCCTGCCCTTACACTTTCACCACCTTCTTCAACCCTTAGCTTCTCACTCTTATTAAGTTCCTTTCCTTCACAGTATGAACATGCTATGATTCCTCTATCCTTATAACCCCCCAACATTTACCCTGCATCTTTCTCCAACTGCTATCCCATCTCCCTTCACCTCTAAACTCAGTGAAAGTGTCACACACAACTATTTTATTAAGGTTCTCTCCTCCAACTCTGTCCTTTTACCCTCCAGTTTGGTCTCTATGCCACTGAAACTTTTGTCTCCATGGTCTTTAATGACAGTTTTATGGTCAAATTTCAGAGCCTCTACCTGGATGACATCTTTGAGTACCATCTATCTAGACCCACACATCTAGGCAGTGTCCATATGTTTCCCCTTCTTCCTTCCTCCATCACTTCCTTCCAGAGATCTGGCCTTTCCTCTCTGTTCTGCTAGTAAAAGCCTAGTCTAGGCCCTTATTATCTCTCATCTTAACAACTGCAGCCTTTTTCTCTCTGGCCTTTCTGACATCCAATTGGATTCCCAGGTCCAATCAAAAGATGCTACTAAAATAATCCTTCTGACCATGTTACTCTCAACTGAGAGATGGTCCCCCTTTCTTCACTGCATCAAATGAATGTGACCCTTCACAACGTAGCCCCTCCCTATTTAATACATTTATCATGTGATTTTTCCCCTACTCCTTCAGTGGTACTATCTTCCATTTCCTATTTGCTCCTACTATAAACACCCTCACATTTTCTTCCATGCTGCTCCTTTATGTATGACCACTCTCCTTAAATTAGTCTGTAAAGAGAATACCCTGTCTTTCAAATCTCTCTTCAAGATTCACTTCTACAATGATGACTACCAGAAAAAGCCAACTGATAATGGATAGTCAGATGGCCTTTAGGAGTGTCCAATATTGTATTTTTAACTCTAGTTGTGTATAAACCTGGCCTATGTAAATGCATATTCTTATTACTATTTCCATCATCCTCCCTCCCCAGTTCCTTCAGATTGTACAACCCACTGATTAGATCTTATATTAAATATATTGCAAGATCTTTAAGGCAGGGACTGTCTTTTACTATGTGTCTGTACAATACCTCAATCATGATTGAAGACTTTAGGCTACCATAATAAAATAATCATCATGGTAAATAGTTTAAAAGTGTCTACGTCAGCTAAGCCAAGAAAAGCACAAGAGCGATTCATATTCTTCACTGCCTCTGTGAGCAACTAGATAACATGTATTGATGATGAAAATCATAGTGATGTTATACAAGGAAGGAATGAGGGGGGGAAATAATTTGCTTACATACCATGGATATCATACAAAACTAAAAAAAATGAAAACATTCAGAGCTGAAATTACTGTTAGAATAGGAAATGTTGAAATAAAAAGAATAGGCGTTTTGGAAAACATCCCATTTCAACATAAAATGAAAGACAAACAAAATACAGTGTATTGGTGAGATGGCCATAATAAAAAAAAATAGTTCTCTAATTCACAAAGGTGTACAACTTTTTACCAACATACAGTTTTCTAAATTTAAAAAAGGAAACCTAGCTACAAAAAATAATAACTAACATGAATGTAACATTATAAGCATCCTATACCAAAAGTAATAGTTTCATTAAAGAAAAACATACTGCATCTTCATATGTGCCTCTTAATAGTTCTTCATTTTACTTTCACTTGAGCAATCCCACACAAACAGACCTTTCTCTCTTCTTTATATTTATTATGTTTAAAATGTTGGTTTAAGAAACAATGGTATATACATTTGCAATTTGATTACAAATACTGAGTCAAATGCATCCCTCGCATATCTCCATTAAATAAAATGAAGATATACCAGGAATTAATATGGTCTCTCTATTGTCACATCATTTTACAATTCCTGCACTGCTCTTTTTCTTGAGTTCCTCATTTTGGATCTTTTCCCTGCACTGAAGCTTTGGCTGGTTGAGGTGTATGTAAATATAGCTTCAGAGTAAATTTCTTCTTCTCGTTAAAAGTTATCATTTTGGTGCTGTAACTGGTATATTTCCAAATAAAATGTGCTGAGGAGCATACTTGCAAGCATATAATAATTAAAATGTGTTCAGATCTCAATGCTAGAAATAAGTGTATATTTCAATTATATTTTTAATTTTACTTATGTGTTTCTTGACTTTGGTTGTAATCCACAGGTCTTGAATACATTCTCCATAATGGATCCCTAGTGGACACAGTTGTGACAGTTAAGCATACAAGGGCCATATATTGTTATCCTTTCATTTGTAACTTGTCTTCTTAAAGCAGCATATATTAATAGCTCATTCCATTAAATACCAAATTGTCTGGGTAAACATTTTTTCCATATACTATAGTATCTTTGTGTAACATGTAAAATAAAAACATGCTTACCATCATCATTCTGGGCCAAACAATTGGTGAAAACAGTAGCAATCGCAATTCCTACAACCAACCATTCCCAGAGACAAAACTGCTGTAGCATTTTCTATTGAACTTCACTCAAGGCAGATCTGAAATAAAAAGAAAGATTTGACATGTTCATTAATCAGTTAAGGTAAATGCATCTGTCAGTGCAGAGAGCTTATAATAACTTCATGGTTAATCACTGGTATTATGGGTCCCTAAACAATATTACTAAATGATATGTATCTATCAGCAAGTATGTCCAATCTCCAGAACAGGACAGTTTTGTTTTGTTTATGTTATTGCTCTTTCTACATCAATCACGGTGTTAGAGAACTGTGTAATGTTTGGTGTTAGTCAAACATATATTAAATGTTAGAGAATTAATATATATAATATGATAAGAAAAGATAACAATGTTTGCTTTTTGTACATTTTTGCTGAGATAGCACTTTAGATTTTGCTGCAAGAGTTTGCGAATCAGAAAACTGGTTTGTGTGTCTTATTTGTAAAATATCTGGCCTAAGCAAATAACAAAGTAAAGCAAAAAGTCAAGAGGAACCGGTTAGCTTTGCAGAAAATCAGGTGTACATCTTTCCTCCCCTCAACAAGACAAGCTAACAAGCAAAAACCCAATACCACAAAAAACAGATCAGTGAAATAAACAACTACTATTGTAAAATAAAATCACCAGGATGAAGCCAGTGGGAGTGGGACCAAAAAATGTTGGGGAACAAACAAATAGAAGTCAGTATCAGTAGAATATTCAAAAATGTATTAATTGAGGTTAATTATTGTAATGTATGCATGAGAATGTTTTAATTAGGGGGTTAGAATGTAATGTATAAAAATAAAGACAAATGAAGTAGCTCTGTAAACTGAGTCTGCACAAAGTTACAAAAAGAAAATTAAAAATTTAACAATAAGGGACTGGAGAAAATACAGGGGAAGACTAGTCAAGCATAGCAAAAACCAGAGATTTGAAAAGAATCACCCTGTCCTCAAGGAAAGTAACTTGATCATTTACTTTTCTTGACTTATCTCTTTTTACATGTATATGTAATTCATATGTAATAATAACCCTGTCTTAAAATGTATATAACAAAAGCTAAAAAAACTCTTTAAGTCTAGATTGGAGTGATCTTGTTTCTCACCCAACAAAGGTATCAAGCAAAGAAATATGTTATTCTGGTTCCTTCAGCTTCACCATTAAAGTTCACTGCTTTTCTGAAAAGTGATAATATAAAACAGATGTACCAATCCTTAAAGCTGCTGCCCAACTTCTAGGCTTGGCTGGGAGATATCCCACAGGGTTTAGACCCACTGAGCACACCCAGGCTTCTAATAACATCTGGGACTGGTCCATTGCCAGTGCAGCACAAACCATAGAACAAGGCAACCAGGTGGACACAGGTCCCTGAACCAAACAAAAGTTTATAAAGAGTAGCATTTTTAAAGTTATACAATGCTCTATTCTGTTATTCTGATAAAAAAGAACTCCCACAATTCAGGGGTGAAAATTACATTATTCTGAACATTTTTATATGAAAATATCAGAATAACAACAATGAAATATCAAATGGAAGCAACAAGAACCATGGAAATGAAAAAAGACATGGATAGTAAAACAAAGCTATTGTCTAAAAAGTATAGAAATGCTGTCATTTTACTCATGTTAAGCATTTAGCCCTCTGGTTTTCCTTATCACTTTCTGCTAGTATTTTTGTATTGTGGTCATATGAGCTATATTTTCATTAATTTCTGAGTCAAACAATTGTCCCTCCACCCTCCGCCACTTAACAGCCTTCAGCATCAAAGCAATCTGATCTGCCATCAACAAGAAATTATTAAAGCCACTGCTATCATTTTCCTTCAAGAAATTGAACTTTTCCTATCTCTGCATCTGTATAGTTTCATCTTAGGCATTTATTTACATCACAAACAATAGTATCATATTAGGACATTAAAGCTTTCTTCTAAATAACTCACACTAAGTTACATTTATTGCAACCAAGAGAAAGCAGGGTTTCCATTAAAAGAAATAAATGACAGCTCTGTTAAGTACTGGAAGATGCACGCACATCTACGAGACTTGGTTTGAATCTTGTTTTCACAGTTTATAGCAGTGACACTGCATCCCATATTCTTCATAGTGATATTATTATGATGTGATGCTTTCAGTCTAGATAGCTGGTTGGGAAGGGCCTGTTCAGGGCAATGAGCCATTAGGGGAAACAATAGGCCTTAGGAGAAGCCTGTCTCTCACCTGGTGAGCCTTCCTCAAAACACTCCAGACAGACTGTAAATAATAGCTGCTATGACTCTACAAGGACATGTGACCAGGCCATATGATTCTGGATTCTATCTTGGGATGTCAGTATTTGTCCACAAACCACTCTGGGAACCAAGTTTTGAAACAAAGGGTTGCTGCCATATGCTAAAGCTATATAAGACAGGGAGTGACATCATCTGTTGTTCTTCACTCCCCACACAAGAAGACTTCTGGAAACACCTGAGGGGGGAAAAAACTGGACTGGGGGAAGTGCTGGTCCTAGGCTAAAGGGATTTCTAGCCTGTGTATGAAGACCTGAGAAACCCAAACTGTAAAGCTAATGCAGCTTGTGCCTTAAGAATCTACACGTCTGCCTTTGCCATCAGTTAGAGTGAGACTCTGCTGTTCATATCCAATCTATCTAGTATATTAAGCTTAGTTCGCATTTTTGTTTATTTGCTAGGTAATCCACTTTGATCTGTTTACTATCACTGTTTGCTTTTGTAGTTAATACATTTATTTTATGTTTTAATCTAAACCAGTGAGTTTGGGGTGAAGCGCATGGGATTTGCTCAGAGAGGCTGTTGTATATTTCTCTCCACTCCACATTGGGAGTAGGAGGGACGAACTCTATGAGCTTACACTGTACAGTTCCCTCTGCAGCACAAGCCGGTGTAATTTTGGATTTATGCTCCAGAGGGGGTGCATGCCTGGGGAGCTTTAGCCTTTCTACTGTTGGTTCATGCAGTGGCTAGTCAGAGAGCTTGCATGTAACTGCAGTTGGGTATCTCCCTACCTGTGGGTATGCTGGTGGAAGTATAAAACCGAGAGCATATCTTCAGCTTGGTGGGGAGAACATCAATTCCAAGAAACCAGAGAAGCCCTTCTGTGTGATGAGGGCACTTAGGACAGTGAAGGAAGATGAATAATGCTCTTAATAGCAGCAGTTTCAATTATTTTCTTCAGGGCTTTCGTTTACTGATTCATAAACAAACTAGTCCAAAAACAAACCACTCAGAACAGTGTCCCCCAACTTCCAGAGACTGTTCCAGCTTCCTAGTTTCATCTCTCTAGGTTGCTTCCACAGCAATAAATTACGTGACAGGGCCTGGCTTAACTCCTCATCTACTGTCTGGGCCTTGCCTCAGACCTCCACTGATAAGGTTGTACAGAGGAGACAGAGAAAATTTAATTGGAAATTTGTGCAGAAATTATAGCTGAATGAACCAACAATAATTTCCTCTCCAAAGGAATGGCTGGATTTGTTGAAGCCCCCATTATAGCACCTTAGAGAACAGAAGAGGATGGGGAGCATTTTGGAGATTGTGGAGATATGCACAGGTCCACACATTCATGGCAAAGTGTTTGTTTTAATCCCTAAATTGTTTGCTATTTCTTCAGGGCAGGTCAAAATTAGCCTTCAACAGAGTGATAAAGAGGAAGCTCCTAGACCAAATGGAGGTTTCTCCAATGTAGGGCAGGAACATAGAAAAAAAGCAACAGACCTTCTATTCAAGACCACACAAAATTTACCAGTGTTACAATGTTATTTTTCCTTCAATAATTCAGATATGGCTTGTTCTTGTTAGCTTTTAAAGTTTATTCAAGTGCTACTTTCTGATTACTTTCAGTTAAATTGCTAGTTTACCAGTTTCAGCCAATCTGAAGTTACTTTAAAGTTACCTGTGGTTTAAAACACAACTTTTAAAGTAAGTGAATAAATATATGATGATGATTTTTTTCTTAACTGGTTAATATTAAACAAATTTGATCATTATATAAAGCATAGCCACTTCACAGTATGATTTATTGATAGCAAATTAATATAATCACCAGCATCGTTAATTGGCTTTTGAGGATATGTGAGAATCTCAGAATAAATTTATTCACAGATCTTGCCAATGAGTGAGCAAGGATTCCTAAATGCATTATATGCTTTACAGTTTTCCCAGTCTTCTAGAACACTAATAAAATAAAGGTTTTGATACTAATAAAATTACTTTAGATATTACTAGTTGTCAAATGCTTCCAAGTTTTTATAATTCAGAAATGTTAGGCAAACGATCTATGATTACAGATCTGCAGCAAACAGAACGAGTTCATTTTAAAATATGTAATTAGATAATTCATAAATCAGCGAATGAACATGCATACAAAGAAGAAGAGTGCAGCTATTTGTAATAGTCCTGAAGAGAAATAGGCATATACACTTCCTGAACGATTTTTATACTAAAAAATGACCAGTTCTCCAACAAAAATGCTTAATTTTAGAAAGACAGTTATTGAGTCCTCAACTGACATCCAGTGTGGTGGGACTACTCCAGAGAGGTTTTAGGACTCAGACATCTTGGCAGATTTATTTTTGATTCAGATGAAATGTCAAGTAAACCATAAGGATGGAAATGGAGTTGTTCTAAGAGTAAGTGTCTCTAGATGAAACTGTAAATAGAGCAGAATAAAAGATTGAGCCTTTCATTCAGTAATCCTGTGGGCCGCTGTAACAGAAACTGGAATCAGAAATTTAGTAAACACAAGCATCCTTACCAAATAGGAAGTAAACAGAATCTTCAAATGCCAAAACAGGTCATGAACAGCTCAAATAAGTTTGAAGACCTCAAGTGAGACAGTTGAGGATTGATTACTCACGTGAGTAAGAGATGCAGGCTCAAGCTCTAAATTTGCAATGTAATAGAGAATAAAAAAAGGCTAATATGATTACTGGAGTAGAAAAGTATAGTATTTCTACATGGTATGGTACCTGAATGTTTTACAGAAAGATGCAATGAAGAGGGAGTTCAAAGAATAACGTACAAGATGGGGAATTATATAGCTGAG